ATCGACCAATTGTATGGAATACCACAAAACGCGCGCCTGAATGATAGCGTCTAGCATATGCCAGTTGCGAACATTAGACTAAATTCACGCGCGTGTGGTAGTTGCTCTTTTGGCGATGTCCTTGCCAAAATATCCAAGTGACATAATGCTAGATGCTAGCCGTGCTCTTGACCAATTGAATCTACTCTTTTAATCTTTTGTGCGCAATCACAACATGCAGCGCCTCACATTCCATAGCTGATTGTCATTAAACCGACTGATATGATTTTGAAAAAGAATGTCTTCAGATGACCAGCTGGATATACGCGATGCGTTACTACACTCCGTTATGGGTTGGTTTACTAACATTCATCAATCCATGGATGATCATCATCATGAATACGGAAGTACGACAGCTAACATTAGGACGGAAGGATACGCGAGATTATAGCAGCGGAAATCCAGCTTTTATACAAACTCTAGGGGTAAATGCATTAGCTAGGAAACCATCTACTTCTCAGCCGAAAAGAGGAATCTGAGTTTCAAAAAAAATATTATGAATAACATGGGTGCTATCGTTGCTTTCTTATTATTTATTTGGTTCAAGAAATTTGTGTTACCCTTACATTCAAACTGTGTAAGTTCTATGTAAATATTTGTATAAAATATGCATTTTTGTTGTGTCGACAAATTAGTTTAGTATTTCTGTTTATGAATAGGCAAAACCTTTTATTAGCCAACAAGTACACAAGAAACTTAGCTTGATCATATTTACGTAGTCCTATGTTTGGTTTGACAGCATAGTTTACGCGTAGTGAGGAGGGACTCGGGGCTGCTTGTATACTAAAAAAAGCCTGCACAAGTCTGTCATTGTGAGTAATCCCGTTAGAAGGATGTGGGTCGTCTTTCTAGGAACCTTATTAGCGGAATATCTTCCTAGGACGAGCGTATTTTAAGGTTTTCTTTTATTTACGTTGCTTCTAAATCTTTGATTGCCACTACCTGTCTTGTTGCAGACTGTCTGCACTAGTCAGTTACTCGAGATGGACTGCACGGGGGCGGTATTGTAATTTGCCCGAAACACTCAGTTAACAATCATCGTCTGCTCGCAGTTAGCGCATGGGCTCACCCTCAAATAACGACCAAACTATGAGGATAACTGCGAGTTGGTGTAGAGATGATGTCGCAAATCCGTTGGAGTAGTGAGAACTCGTGACCACAGGTTAGATACGTAGAGCCATGGCTTTGGACTTCCACTAATCTGCGTAAAAACCCTCACCTAAGAGGTTCTGAGCAACGGTGGGCGGACTCCCATGACAAATATCTTCTGCAGATTATGTTTGTAAATTGAGAAATATAAGAAGGGGAAGAAATAGCTTTTTCTTATTGATGACGAATAAGGTTAAAATCACAGTGAGTACTATGAATATTACAGAGATTGATGAGGAATTTTTTTCCAT